TCTCTCTCTCTCTCTCTCTCTCTCTCTCTCTCTCCCTCTCTCTCTCTCTCTCTCCCTCTCTCTCTCCCTCTCTCTCTCTTTCTCATGGCGCGCGTACTATGCAGTACCTAGGTGATGACCTTGAGGAGGTGAGTGGACGCGCCATACTGGAGGAGGACACGTGCGTAAACGTTCTCCTCATGTCGATGCCGGACGTCATCCTCGTCCCAGGACAGATCCTTCCTCTCAAGCTGTTTCAGCATCGGCTCGTCTCGCTCATGAAACACATCATCATGCAACGCGACAAGATATTTGGCATGGTCGCCTACAGGTACGGACGGAGTCCTGACCTCATGAAGTCGGTCAGCGAAAATTTCTGTTATATTTCATATTAGAATTTTTAGATCAATTTTTCAGGGGAATTTTCAGTTCTTCTGCGTCAAATCCATGAAAAAAATTTTTGTCGAAATATTTGTTAAATTTTTCGTTCAGGGTTTTGAAGGTTTTCACCTCGAATTTGTTAAAACCTTTTTGTTCAAGTTGTTGAAGGTTTTCACCTCGAATTTGTTAAAACCTTTTCGTTCAAGTTGTTGAAGGTTTTCACCTCAAATTTGTTAAAACCTTTTCGTTTAACTTGGAACTTGAGCGTTAAACGTATTCGTGACGAGGCAGATGGAGAAATAACACAACGCTATCATTTCTAAATTTTTCCAAATCCATTAAAAGTATCGAGTTTTAACAAGTGAAAAATGTATGCGCCCCCGAATTCCGATGCATGTACACGCACAGTGTATGTATGTATGTATGCATCTCTGAATCAGTGTGTTAGCCAGAGAGCCGTCTACCCGTCTTTTGGACGGCCTATTCTTGGATGAGATGGATGAAATATGATAGAGACGGCATGAGGGCAGCCCAATTTTACCCCTGCATGAAAATAAAATCGTTGGTTTTCCCCCCTAGGGTGCTTCGCGCCCGCAGCATCCTCGCTTCGCTCAGATGGTGAGACTCCCTGATTTTTTCCCTGGCTAACACTCTGCTCTGAATGTCGATGTACACACACACACAGTGCGACGATGTATGTACACACACAGTGTATGTATGTGTGCATCTCTGAATGTCGATATACAGTGCGGCGATGTATGTACACACACAGTGTATGTATGTGTGCATCTCTGAATGTCGATATACAGTGCGGCGATGCCCGTCCACGCATCCGTCGGTACGCTCGCGGAGGTTTACTCCTACAAGGAAGACGCCGACACGCTGTTCGAAACGCTCTGCGTGAAAGCGATGGGGCGCCAACGGTTCCGCATCCAGGAGACGTGGCGGCAAGCGGACGGGTGAGTCTGTTACCAACCACTCCTGTAGAACCGCCACCCCGTAAAACGGCCACCCCCGTAGAACGACCACCTGCCTGCTCATGAAGGCCAATTTTTCGATTCGCCGATGTGCCGCTTACGTACGGGTTCGACTGTATTTTGTAACGATCGTTGCGAGTTTCGATACCATAGGTAGCTCCCGGCTACAGTGAATGACCGTTAGTGATTTATCAGTGGACGATGGGCAATTCATGATGGTACCAATTCACAATGGGACAAAAATATCCATGCTAGCGATAGCTTATTGTGTTATACATGGGACTGACAGTGAAGTCACGTAGAAAACTGATAGAAGAGGGAGGGAGGGATTTATGAACGTGCTACGATTACTGTCGGATTCAGTTGGGTTTGCGCATTTGCACATAATTTCTTCTTGTCATTTCTTCCGAGGGAAGGTTCTTTTCATGCTTTCGTTGTTCACATCGTAGGAACATACTGGCAAAGGTTCGGATCCTTCCCGAGATCACGCTTCCGGATTTCCTGGAGGGAGCACGGCCGGACAGCTGGAGGAAGTTCAATATTGCTCCGCTGAGGGCCGGGAGCAAGGCGCGCATGTCCTGGAGCGAGGGAGATGGCTTCTACCTGCAACTGAAGTCAACTTATAGGAAGGTAAACCGAAGCGATGATCATGATTATTTCTAATTGTAATTAGAGTAGATTATTTATGATTTTTAGCTCATCTGACATAGTCAGATGCAGCTTGTAGAATCGCTTGATCGTCCGTCCGTCCGTCCGTCCGTCCGTCCGGTCGGTCGTCCGTCAACAGTTGGGCACAAATCTTAACCGCTCGACGTACGGTCACGATATTCGGGATGTGGGGGGGTAATCCGAAAACGAGTTGGGATGTCGAAGCTGGGGGTCAAAGGTCAAAGGTCAAGAGGTGTAAAAGAAGGGGGAACATTCACTCCTTAACTTAAGGTATAGGGAGGAAATGCAGAATTGCGGCACAAATCTAAACGGCTCGACCTAGGCTCGTGATAGTCGGTGTATAGCATCATGGTAGGAAAAGCCATCACTGTGCCGAAATTGGAGGTCACAGGTCAAAGGTCAGTGGGCACAGGGCAGATTTTAGACATTTTCTGAGGACATGGTCTGACGGAGCGATTGAAAAACTTTTTTGTTTCAGCGGTGACCTAGCATTTTTATGGCTTTATTGAAAGGACCATGAAATGTCCCTTCTGCTGACATGCGAAGAGTAAGTGTCGGATAACCTTTTGACCCTCAAGAGGAGGGTTAAACTTGGATTTGTTGACTGTCTGTTAGAAAGAATTTGACTGCCGGGTTTGCTAGTAGAATCTATACATGCCTGGATGTATGAGGCTACAATGTCACAGTGAAATTTCAAAAGCTAAATTTGGTTAAAGAAGGTGTATGTTCCTTAAATCGTATAATTTCTATGTCATTCTGTACTGTCAGTATGTTACATGTAACGTACGGTATGCCACTGGTGGCTGCAGTTTTTGCCTGCGTTAATTGCTTGCAGGTGGCAGCTCTCTATTGCAATTTGCAGCCTGTAGGCTTGCGTAGGTAAATGGATGAGTGCTTACCTATTCTGTCTTGCAAATAGTTGTTGCTACTACGAATGATGGGAGCTTCCATCTTTAATCTGAAGACACTTAAACGTACGCGCCATCTCGTGGCAACTTTCATAACGATCCCAACGAACATTCTTTTGAGAAGGTTCCTGATACCATCCCTGTGCATTCCACTGTTTCGGCGTGTATGTGAACACATTTGGGACTAACAGGGTTTACTAGAATCCCTCCACTCCACCACAGAGTCACCGCAGTAGACGTTAGATGAGCGCTGTCGCTATGCGGCACTTGTTGTAGCTACGTGATCGATGGGTGTGAGAGAAATAATTATTGAGGGAGATAGCATCCATTTAAAATCTTAACAGTTTACATTAAGTTAATGTTTACATGCTAACATAGTTGTTCATAAGTTTGGCTTTCTTGTGAATTATCTCGAGTCATATAACCAGGAGTTTATAACATAGATAACTGTATGCTCTCAACACAAAGTATCATTCATAAACCTAAAAGAAGTTATTTTTAGATGGTAAAAAAGTATGAAAATTGCGTTATCTTCTCTTTTGTCTAAAGTTGTTGTTATGCTATTGAGTGCTTTATATTATTGATGTTTTACGTTGCAGTATGACCGACTTGCTAGCGCTATACTCACGTCTTGGCCACGATGGGTATACAAGCAGTACGATACCGTATGTATTCTTAATTTACTACCTGGAAGTGTCATTATATGTTATACTAAAATGACAATACAGGTCACACCCTGTCCTAGAATGTGTAAATATGAAAGTAGTTTTGTTGAGGGTTTTTTTTGAGTGGTAGCGACCATCAACACAAAATCTTTAATTGACACCACGTTTCATGTTACTAACCATAATCTTGGCGAACACTTAAACTTATTTACACATTATCAGGAGTGAATAAAAATATATAAATTTGTTACTAAATTGTAATTGTCAATTGCCACCGATAAGAATTCGTGAATGAATAGAATTCTTTTCATTCACTCTGACATCACTTACATATTCTCACACATGCGTTTTTCATGTTTATTCTCAAATTTATTTTGATTCACTCCTGACATCATCTCTACATATTTGTACACCTCATAATGCTCTTCTATATATACCAGAATACATGCATCCTCTACTATACACTGTAACGCGCGTCTCCTCGGCAGAATCACCTCGTCGCGGCGATAAAGAAGGAGCTTCGCAGCTGGAACGAAATGATAAACGTCGACAACCTTCCCATCGACCCGGCGATGCTCTCCTATTGGGTGACGGCAAACCTGCCGCTAGAGGACGCCACCCGTCTAGAGATGCTCACGATCAACAGCGCGGTGCAGCGACTGCGCGCCCTGCTGGCGATTCTACTGAAGGTAGGTGTGCAGCGCCCCCTGCTGGCGATTCTACTGAAGGTAGGTGTGCAACGCCACCTGCTGGCGATTCTACTTCACCTACGGCGTACGATACATGTGGCGTCGTGGGTCGACGTAGAAGGTAGGCTTGCTTTACGCTGTGCGACAATGCGTGCGCGACTGTTCCACAAGGTTTCGAGTCTCGCAATGTCTGCAGTATTCTGACTGTCTACCTCATGTGAAGTATACGCGTGTCTGTTATACATTACGCGTGTCTGGTGTCTATTATACGTTATGCGTGTCTGGTGTCTATTATACATTACGCGTGTCTGGTGTCTATTATACATTACGCGTGTCTGGTGTCTATTATACATTACGCGTGTCTGGTGTTGCAGTGTTCGGTGCTGCGGTGCAGCGAGTGTCGCGCGGACATCGCCGGGAAACGCGACGTGTTCTCGATGTCGCTCGGCGGGCCGATGGCGGCGTACGTCAACCCGGGCGGACACGTTCACGAGATGATCACCGTCATCGCCGCGAGAAACCTGCACCTAGTCGGAGGGCCGTCGACCGAAAACAGCTGGTTCCCCGGGTGAGGTGGCGCCACAGGTGGTGTTATTATTATTAGCTCATCTGACATAGTCAGATGCAGCTTGTAGAATCGCTTGATCGTCCGTCCGTCCGTGCGTCCGTCCGGTCGTCCGTCCGTCCGTCAACAGTTGGGCACAAATCTTAACCGCTCGACGTACGGTCACGATATTCGGCATATTGGGGGGGATCGTCAAAACGAGTTGGGCTGTCGAAGCTGGGGGTCAAAGGTCAAAGGTCAAGAGGTGTAAAAGAAGGGGGAACATTCACTCCTTAACTTAAGGTATAGGGAGGAAATGCAGAATTGCGGCACAAATCTAAACGGCTCGACCTAGGCTCGTGATAGTCGGTGTATAGCATCATGGTAGGAAAAGCCATCACTGTGCCGAAATTGGAGGTCACAGGTCAAAGGTCAATGGGCACAGGGCAGATTTTAGACATTTTCTGAGGACATGGTCTGACGGAGCGATTGAAAAACTTTTTTGTTTCAGCGGTGACCTAGCATTTTTATGGCTTTATTGAAAGGACCATGAAATGTCCCTTCTGCTGACATGCGAAGAGTAAGTGTCGGATAACCTTTTGACCCTCAAGAGGAGGGTTAAACATGGATTTGTTGACTGTTAACAAAGGAGTGAACTGCTTTTGCTATTAGAGCCCCCTCCCCCCACCCTCCCCCTACCCTCCATCTGCGATAGTGGGCGTGTCCTAACAATGATGTGTACGCAACTGCGTGTCTGCATATCTGCGCCTAACAAATGTGGTACTACGCACGACTGAAATTTTACGTTTATAATCGTAGCAACAGACCTCAGATGAGCCCAGACGCTCTGCGGCTCTTGTTACTAGTAGTAGTAGTAGTAGCAGTAGTAGCAGTAGCAGCAGCAGTAGTAGCAGCAGCAGTAGTAGCAGCAGCAGTAGTAGCAGCAGCAGTAGTAGTAGTAGTAGCAGTAGCAGCAGCAACAGTAGTAGCATTATTATTATTATTATTATTATTGGCAGTAGCAGAATCAGCAGCAACAGCGTGAGATGTATATATATCTCATAATATACATATATATACGTTATAGTTTAATATATATTCCATCTCACCTGAGATGTTCACATGTTCATGCCAGTACGTACAGTGTAGTGTGCATGCTTGACGCCCTCTCTCTCTCTCTCTTGGGCAGGTACGCTTATGTATGTGCATACATAGTGTGTACCTGTAGGTTTATACATAGGTCTGTTATACAGGTACGCGTGGACGATACTGAACTGCCGCGGCTGCCACCAGCACATGGGATGGAAGTTTACGGACGTGAGCGGGGACCGGCGCCTCGAGCCTCACCAGTTCTGGGGTCTGTGTCGTGGATCGCTTGTCCCCGGACTCTCCCGCCCCGGCAATGCCGACAACGACGATGCAGACGACAACGACGGTGTGGTCTACGTCATGTGACTCTCTTCCCACCAATGGTAGAGATCGCGCGCGACAGCAACATAGTCATGTGACAGAGCCGTGATGTAGTGATTGTCGGTGTGATAAGTCGCGGGGCGGCATCCAGTAGACAAGCACTCAGAGTCAGCCCTTACCGTGTGCCAGGGCCCGTACCATGAACATATTATATATCTCATAATTTATATGTATATATGTATATATATATATATATGCATTATATACATAGAATTTAATATATATTCCATCTCACGTGAGATGTTCATATGTTCATGCCGGTACATATACAGACTGTTGTTTCAGCTATACCCCACCCCCTTCCCATATCAAGCCACATATTTTAATAGCAACCTGCTTGTTATTAGAAGCTAATAATGCATATTATTAGCTATTGATCTTATACATGATGTTCAACATATATTATGTAAAGGTCAGTTTCTGGTGCTCATAGTGTGTGTGTATCATCTGGTAGTCGTACTCGCAAAGACATCATTGCTGTAGCTATGCACATGTGCCCACACACTCCTGCATTAATCGACACCTGTCTACAAACTATACGTCATGTCCCTTAATTGCTTACAGTAACTTGGAGTTGGCTTAAAGTAACTTTGTACGTACAGCTTCTATAAATAAAAACAAAGTTCAAACATGACAAAGCTTAAGCAACATCATGCACAGGGCTAAATGCATCTGAAACAATCCGAGGATCATGTTAGAATCTGTGTTGCTAAATGCATCTGTGATGTGTTGACATTGTCCGTGTACACTTGAAAGCTCTCCACTTCTGATCATGAAAGAGTAATCATCAGAATATTTCACCAAGATGAGAAGCGTATCTTAACAACTATTCACGGTAAATTTATTTTCTAATATTTGCGTCACTTGAGGTCCATTTAAAAAATGCTGACGCGTTGAATCGGTTCTGGATTCTCACTCTGTAATCACTTTGTTTTCATCATGTTACCACGCAAATTACTATTTTGGTGTGAAAACATATTGATTCGGAAAACGGTTTTTTATCATTTTATTTTATAGTGTTAGCTCTGATTACGGCTTTACTGACGACTTGTCTTTTGACCCGAGAAAAAACGTTGTTTAGATTCGGTAATGTGTGTTTACCAAGTGAATGTATAAAATGTAAATATTTGTGCGAACTCGTTAGTAGTTTTCTAAAAATGAGGGAATTAAAAAACACGATATTTAATACGTATAACTTGAAATAAAATTCGTAGTCGAAACCTTTTCATTACCTGTTTTTATTTTCCTAGTATGTCTTTGCACAGCAGCAAATTGCTGCAACTATCTTGCTAGTCGCTACATAAGGCTACTACTAATATGCTATTAACGAATTTCACTGTAATTTGTTTATGTAACAATTCAACCTTTCACTAGACTGACTAGTGGCGTTACAACTGGGCATAAAAAGGGGAGTAGTAAACAGGAATCTTCCTGTACTACATGTGGGCAGTAGAACAGAGCAGAACGCAGCTCCTATGTACACAGATCTGACCACACTGAACAATGATCTCGTCCGGGGGCCCGAAATCAAAAACAAAATCGGTCTTAGTGTTAGTGTTAACACGAACTTTTTCGCGTAGACCGGACCTCTCTCTATACACTGCGTACGAGACACTCTGAGATGGCTCGTGAAACTCACGAGTAACTTTACGATATTTCCGTCTTTTCCTCGACCCTGCTACAGTGTTAACCCCTACCTCTGTTGCTACTGCTGCCTACTGCTGCCACCGCCACATCTCCCTACCTCCACTCCACGTCCGTCTCCACGTTAACCCGCCGCATCCATCCCCGCTCCTCGACCGCCCGCTGCTGCCGCCTGGTGGTGATGATCACAGGTTGAGCTGGTGTACGCTGTACGCTCGCACGGGCGGCGCGTCGTACACCCTCGCCGGCTTCGGCCGCCGCAGCTTGCGTCCGTGGTAACCAGTCTTCTTCTGCCTCCAGCCACTCTTCGGACGGTAGCCGAGCCACCTGCTTGCCTGCGGCGAGCCGCGCGTCAGCTTGTCGTGGTCCGGGTTGGAGACGCGGCCGACGACCGCGACGCATCGCTCGCTCACGCGCATCTCGCGCCGCGACGGAAGCTGAACGATCACGTCGCCGCCGGCAACGCGCCGGAGGATCGTCGTCGACGTTCCCGCGGCGCGCACCACCTTTCCGCCGTCGCCGGGGTAACGCTCAACGCAGCAGACGACCGTACCGACCGGTAGCGCCCCTAGCGGGTAGGCATCTCCTTCGTATGCCTTCACTGCGGAGAGAGAGACGCGGGGGAACGTGGCGTGAGGGATACCGCGGGGTAGACGTGTCCGCGATATCAATAATAATAATCAATAATAGTAAGTAATAGTAAATATAATGATTATCGAATGAGTACAGGTGTGTAAGTTAATTAAGTACAGGTGTGTAAGTATACATAGACTGAAACCTATGTTAACGGACACCTCTACAAAATAATCACCTGCGTATAATGACGCTATTGATTTTGAGGGACCCTTGTATACAGACTCGTCTGTACATGTAAACGAATGGTAAAGTGCGTGCAGTGCGTACGTCGGCTTACGTACTCGTGAGTGTATGTGAACTAATGGTTACTACTAATGGAACTAATGCTACAAAGTTACACACACCTCGATGAACAATGACTTCCACTAACGCTGTCACCACTATAATAATGCACCTCTCATGCAAGGGATACACCTCTAGCACCTGCGTGTGGTGGCTAGCATTTCTCAGGCTTTTAATCAGACCCACGAAAAAAATATAGGATGAAAATTTGCAAAAAAAGAAGACAAAAGTAGGATTTTGCTAGAAAAATTATTATAGAAGTAGGACTTATGCAGGCTTTCAGGATTAATTTTTACTCATACTATAATCGAGGCCAGTGTAAAAAATAGGAAAAAAAATTAAGAAAAAGTAGGAATTTCAGGGACAAATTAGAACTTAGGCACAAAGACAAAAAAAGTAGAAAAAGTAGGAATACTTGAAAGCCTGCATTTCTACGCGGCTCTACTTTTGCAGTACCTGTCACTAAGTAACGCTGTCACCACTACCATGACCTTTCATGCAACGGACACACCTCTAGCACCTGCGTGTGGTGGCTAGCATTTCTACGCGGCTCTACGTTCTCGTACCTGGTATCCGCGGAATGTGACCGGACGTGTTGATGATGTCGCCGGCCTTCATGTTACACGTCGCCAGGATGAAGCGTTTCTTGTCGCCCCCGGCAACCAGCGCTATCTTCGCGCTCCGCAGCGGGTCGTAGTGTATGGACATCACCTTAACGAGTTAATTATTGGTGTTAATTATAACGCGCGTATTAATCGCTACGCATTCATGTTCGCCTTAATTATAACACGTATAACGAAAAGAAAAATAGTACGCCAGAGGGTTTTGCAACTGGGAGAGCGGCATCCAAACCAACGAGACTGCATTGAAAAAGGACTGCCTGTCTTAAATGTTGGACTCTCTAACATTTTTTGTTAACCCCATCACGTAACATGAGCTGCGGTGGATGACGACGGCTCGAATAGAAATTCACGATCACCTAATGCGATTGAAAGCTACCTTTTCTTGGAGCGGTTCGCCTTCCGTTGGTCCTATGCGATGCATGTCAACCATTCGAAATTTAACCTTGTTTCCCCCGGCTCTTCTGTGGTTAACGACCCGACCTAGAAAACACAAGCAAAGATATATATTGTTCATGGTTGGGAAGAAGGAAGGTTTCCTCAAAGGACGAAATGAAGCAGAATCAATCGATCAGCTCTAATTAATGTACAAAAGTTGTTTATTATAGGAGACGCTAACGCCTTTCCACTTGTACAGCAATTATGTTAAATTATATATTATTATATTATATGTTAATGCGAAATGTATTTACTAAGTGATAATAGTAGGGCTTATTTATTTGCATTACAAGCACATATCTACATCCAGATTTCTAACATTAAAGACAGAACGTTGCCTTAGAACCGCCCACCAAATATTTTCACCAAAACATTTTTTACTTTTGTTCTTTTTACCCCTCACCTGTCACTAGATCTCGCCCTCCCGTCTTCGTGCATGGCAGTGCCTTTGTCGTGTACCCCGACGCCGGCATCTTCGTAACGATGACCCTCCGTTGAAACCGCAGGTGAACCTTGTGCTTGCGTCCTCTCAGCTTTTTACACAGCGGTGTCGTCGTGTGGAAACCTCTCGCTAGCGGCGCAGAGCTCTGAGCGACGAAGGACGGCGTCTGCTGCAGGCTCGCTGCCGGTAGCAGACGACTGGAGGCGGCGGTTGTTGTTAGCGACGGTCGCAGAGACGGCTGCGTCGCCGCGGCAACCCGAATCGTCAGACGCTGCAGAGAGCGGGCGAGCGTGCTGGCCAACATTCTGAAGATGCAAGACGAGAAAAGACACATACAGATAACTGAGACATATGTCCAGGGAAGGAGTGAGTGATGCGGACTGTCACTCATTATAATGTCAATGATACTCAGATAGGAAGGTGCTCATGACATGTAAATTAAAATTGTAATCAACCGCGGGTGTATCGTAGACATAATATTCGATTATTTATGATAATCACACGCATGTCACCGATTTGACATATTGCACAATTAAAAAGTATGGTATAGGTTACCTAAATATTTCTAACGATAATTGGAAATACAAAAGTGAAGGAATTGATCAATTAATAAATCAAAGCATTGTCGAATTTGACTTTCATGTGGGAGCAGCCATGTTGATCTTTTATCGCCATCTGGTGTGCTTTCTAGACATAAAATATGGACAATAAATGTAAGCTTACTTTGCCATAAGTTTGTTCATAGATTTTCCCCTTCTACGACCTAAGAGTTTCTGACTGTAATGTTTCAACTTTTCAGGAAATATTATTTATTATTATTAAATATATAGTAATCAGTCAAAATAATTAAATGCCATGTGTATTAGTTGTATCAAGAGCGTATAAAGAAGGTTTTGCTTCTTTATTATTCCCTTCTTTATACGTTCTTGGTTGTATCATGAGTAGATAAAAAACGTTTTTTTGTATTTATTCACTCCTGGTTGTACTATGTATCACAGGCTTTTGGAGGCTCAAGTTTCAAGAAGAGTACTATAACTATTCGCTCTTACAGTTATAGTACTCTTCTTGAAACTTGAGCCTCCAAGGGCCTGTGTATGTATGTATAGATGAGGGGGTACAGGGGGCGGCGGTACGAGAGAAGGGGGACGGGAGACGGGAGAGGATGGGGCGGGAGACGGGAGAAAAGGAGGCGGGAAGCGGGAGGGGAAGAGGAGTGAGAGTAGGGAGGCCAGTTGGCAGGAGATTTGAGAAAAAGAGAGAGAGAGAATAAAAGAAATCCATAGCACGAGAAATAAATACATGAGAAAATACATTGTACAGGATAAATACATTTATCACGCAAACTGGTGTACATACACGCATACTGCATACACGCGTAGTTCGCGCGCAGAGGGGATATTATTGTCACGTCAAATATGACATCCTCGCGCCATCTCTCGGTAGAAATAATTTATATGCGCACATTGTATGTTATGTCTAACCGTCAAATGCATTATTAAAAGTATTATAATACTCTAAAACATATTTAACGTAGAGTGAAATTTATATAATTACAGTACATATACAAAACAACATTTACTGTATAAGACTGGTAAAGGCTTGGCCGTGAAATTCCCATCCTACACTTTGATGTATGTATTTCAAGGATGTAGCAGCGACTTTGATCAAATATGACATCCTCGCGCCATCTATCGGTACAAATAATTCATATGCGCACATTGTACGTTATGTGTAACCGTAAAATACATTATTAATGAGAGGGGGAGGGAGGCGGGAGGAGAGGGGGAGGGAGGCGGGAGGAAGACAACCCCCTGTATCCCTCTGAGAAATCTTTTACGGACCAGTAGATAGTAGGGGGTGCTAGCAGAGAGTAGGGGCACACAGCCAATGACCCCCCAAGTTCAGGGAATACTGTGTCAAAGGGGAAAATGGCCCGGTTAAAGGTGCTCCCTGGTTTAGAGGGCGCTAAGCTCAGGGGACGCTGCGGTCAAGGGACGCTGCGGTCAAGGGACGCTGAGGCCATAATGTCAAATTTAGGCGTTATTTGAAAAATAGCATCTAAAATGGGCTATAGTGTTGCTGGTACGATATTAATTTTCAATAAAATAAAATAAATTTATTTGCATTATGCCGTACTATTGAATTGTACAAGTTTTTGTACGTAATAACGGTATTTGGTTGGCAATGACATAATTCTGTATTTAACGTTTTAATCTATTATTCAGCTATTAGCTAGGGTATTAGGTAGTAAATTGACAAGAAATCACCAATATATCACTGCGATCCCCTAGTACGTGTTATCATCATATTCACCAAACGTTGCCTGTAAGTTGTAACCACAGCACTTTCAATCACTAGCAATGTCCAGGTTTTTTCTTTAAACAAATACACGCATTTCAATAACGAACAGGTACAGTGTATATATACATAGTTATTATTACAGTGATTTATTACAGAATTTCTTTACAGAATTCAAACGAATCTTCATAATTATAGAAAAATACAGTCGCAATATCGAGCGCCGTACCTCAGGCGTCGCCACGACGATATCTTTCTCCGCATTCCGACACAACTTATGAATGACGCGGGAACGGCTCTGATGTTTCATCGACGTGGCACGCGTGCGCGTATATCACCGATCACATAAATACGTATAATCACGCATAATTAAGAATGACGTTGCGACCCACAATCACCGGGGAAGACACCACCGCAAAACCGCGTCCGCGCGGACGACAAATACAAAATGGCCACCGTGCAAAAATACGCGCACGTACGACGAATCAAACATGGCTGCAGCGTGAAGATTGCTGTCTAATCGGCTGCCGGAGCGGTGACGGCGGCGGCGGAGGCAGTGGCGGAGGACTCTGTGTACTGCAGGAACCAGAGGCTGGTTCGCACAAACCGGTCCGACTCCACGTCGACCTTGGAGAGGGCGTGGTTGTCGTCGGCAACGTACATTCTGCGCAGAGAAGCAGACGAATGATGAAGACGGCGAAAACAAACATCGCCGTCATACGAAAGTGACTATCAAAACAAACATGGCCGTCATACGAAGGTGACCATCAAAACAAACATGACCGTCATACGAAGGTGACCATCAAAACAAACATGGCCGAAAAACAAAGATGGAGAAAACAAACATTTTGTCATC